TGCAGTCACCAGCCACTTCGATCGGCCGGTAGAAGCAGCCTCGCGGCGAGGGGAGTGTGTGTGTGCGCTCGCCCCGAGGCCGCTTCTACCAGCCGATCGAAGTGGCTGGTGACTGCACTTGGGGAGCTTCCATTGCCCGAAAGAGACTGCCTAATGGCAAGGGGACACGGGCAGCCATGCCACGCCCTGAAGCGGCTGGGGACTCTGCCTTCAGGGAGCTTCTATCGGTTATCAGGGTATTCCAGCCAAGGCTGCCTGCAGGACACTCCTAAAGGCAAGTTTTCTCCCCATCCCCCCTGCCCTTCCCCCCCATTTCTCTTCACCTTGTGTAGTTCTAACGAACAATGTGAGAAATGGTGGGGAAACGCAGGGTTTAAATAGGCCTAAATTTTGGGGGCGGGGCTGAATTGCACCTCATGCCAAGAAATCATGCTGGGCCTTCCTATTGGTGGAGGCCATATTGTTGGAGAAACACGGTTTTATAAAATAACGTATCAGTGGCATATGACCTGATTTATACAGTCTAAAATGTATAAAAGAATATTAAGTATGTGATGGAAGTGTGAAGATGAAGAGGGGACTTTTAACCATTCACCATTCACGGTGGACTTGGAAAAAGCAAAGGAATTTGAGTGAAAAGTAATACACTGATGCAAAAAGGACCGTGGATTAACATACTATTATGATTAAACTAGAATTATGTCTATTGAACTTTATAGGTCTTTTGGCCAAAATAAAAGAGTGAATAATAAATAAATGATTATGTTCTGTTACTAGATTGTAACAGAACAGTGAGAACAATCAACATGACAATGATCTACATCAATATGTGAGAAAGATCATTAATTACTGTAGGTAGAAGTCATGTATAATATTATATACACATCTCTCTGTTCTGAAAGATTAAGGGAAAGTGGATTGTATTGTATTTAGTATTCTGATAGATTCTAACCCCAAAATCTGATTCTATTCTCAAAATCCCTGAAAACAATTTTCAACACGAGTACAAAAGTTTCAACTGATAGGCGAGTGGAACTAAGAACAATGTTCAGATCCACTTTGTGAAACAAACTCAGTTGTTCAGCTGTGGCAAATCAGATATTTCTGCAGAGTCAAGTCTCTCTATCCGTGTCAAAATAAGACTACTTGTTTCATCAAACAGAATATTCTGGGTATCAACGTTATAAAGCTAATTTTTCAAAAATCTGCAAAAAAGTTTTGTATGGGGTTTGTAAGCAAATAGTACCAAAGTATAAAATAGTTCTTGGATTCTTTGCCTCTTAGCAGAGTTAAAAGTATTAATTTCAAGGAAATTTCAATAGCACATATTTCTTACCTTAAAGTGACTGGAGGACTACTGCCATGTAATAGCATTTCAGGTACAGTCTACAGGCAAATGGTAGAAATGAGAAAAATAAATAAAATAATAATTTCCAAAAGAAAAATAACATGACTTTCTCTTTTACTGGTTGTATAATCATCAGTCCTCCAAGTCTACATTTTGAAATCAGCTTTATGTACCTGTCTCTTAAGGTATGTTAGCTTTATTGGTAACAATTCACACCTTTCTGAAGTCAATAGCAGTTAATTCTCTTCTTAATGGTTCTTGATTCTTTCAGTTGCCTTCACTGCAGCAGTTAACGATCTAATCTTTCAGATGCCTATGAATTTCCTGCTCTTGTATCAGGATAGGCAAGCAAATCAGCATCCAATCTGCAGTTGTCACGCTGTAATCTGCCAACAATCCTAACAGTAGTGTTGCATAAGAGATAAAGTTGGAGACAGGCTTAACTTTGTGAGATATGGACAAGATCACCCCTCGCTCAAGCTGCTTCTGCCAACGTCTGTTTTGTCCTACCCCATGGCACTTAGAACCATGCTGCCAGGAGTTCGATCCTGACTTCGACTCAGCCTTCCATCCTTCTGAGGGCCCAATTGCTGGGGGCAATATGCTGACTCTGTAGACTGCTTAGAGAAGGCTGTGAAACACTATGAAGTGGTATATAAGTCTAAGTGCTATTGCCATTACTAGAAGAATGGTTTGAAATATCCCCAGTCCACTGTTCAAATTAGGGGAATAAAAGTAGTTTAATGAAAATTATCCCCATATGTTATCCAAATCATATGCTATGGATAGATTTCTAAGGCAGTATCTAAGATATGCAATCAAAAAGGAAAGAAACAAGAACTCCCTCATATGATTTGACCAAACAGATTGTCCCAAAGCTTCTATATCGATGTGAAACTGTAGGATATAATAATGGGAGAATTAGAGAGGGGATACTGGAGATGGCAAAAACAGTATTATTAATGAATGTCCTTGGGGATTTCTTAAGGGGCGGAAGGAAAAAAACGCATCTGATGTCAGGGATTCGTCTACCTTCCCTGGTGATCTGCTAGAAAAGCAACCATTATAGTTAATACAGAAGGCAGACAAGAAAGGGAACCCAACAGCAGCATTAGCCACATCCCTTTAGAGTTGGCATCATGTACTGTACCACTAAACAAGTTAAACACTAACAATAAAAACTAATAAAACTAACAAAGTAAAAGCCAAAGCAAATATTTCTTATTAAACATTGTGTTAATAATCAGAAAAACATTCAATGAAGTCTTATTTGAATTTCTCAGACAATCTAGAAATGTCTAATGTAAAAAAATCTAGTTTTACAATTCTGTCATCCTTAAATTACAAACCGTAGATTTGCAGCAATAGCCAAATTATATAAAATACTCGTAAACCTTGCATACTGTCAAACTCCTGAAAAGAGACTTTTTCTTGTTTACAAAGCGACTTTTTAGGGTGTTTTTTTTTTTACTGAAAAGAAGAATAAGTTTTCAACCCATTAATAATAGTGCAATTAAATAACTTTTAATAACACATCTTTGAAACAGCTAAATAAGAACATGCTTTGAATTTGCTGTTACCTCAACAAATTCTAGCAGCTTTTCAGTTGCCACCTCAAAGGTCTTCTTGGCTGTTTCAGATTTTCTTAACTGACAATCAAGCACAGTAATCCTCTTTCTTAAATCTTGTACACTCTCCTAGGAAAAAAAATCAAATAAAAACAAAAACACTACAATCTAAATACCAAGGTAGGGAGATTTTTTTTTTAACTCTCAGTCAGCAAAGAAGCAAAAAAAACTTTACTTGCATCAAGATCTGTTCTAGCATCCCAATACATTGCAAAATAAAGAATTTTATAGTGGGGTGTCAAATGAACTTAAATGTGATTAAAATACTGGAGAAACCGATCCATTTTTTTTTAAAAAAAGGTGCAGTCCAATGCCTTTAAAATTGGTAAATTATTTCCTTCATTTGTAATCCTGAACAAACTGCTCCTGTGGGGGAAGCAACATTTCTTTTCATGGGTTATATTTATTTAGCAAATGGCATACTATGTCAAGGAAATCTACACACACTAGACAGACAGTGCAGTCCTGACAACCCAGAATGCTACTTCATTCTGTTCAGTGCTTAGACGCCTATCCTTAGTGCACCATGCCGGGAGCGGAGCAAACTAGCTTTACACCAGCTAACTGGGTTGTACATCTATCAGTGACAAGGATAAGAAAAAAAACAGGGCTTCCTCTACAAGCAGAGTAAGGCAGTCACACTGAGAGGCAGATATTCACAGTGTGGATAGTGTTTGATGGTGGCATGTGGTCAACTATGTGGTATACGGTCAGCTTAACTGTTTCATCTGATCCTCCAGTTCAGACAACAAAATGATTATGGAAGAGTAGAGGAAAACAATTTACTTCTGCTCTGTGTGAACCACACTTTGCTGGGAAAAGGTAGATTTTGCTTCTCTGCCCTCAAACCAACTGTTTTTTCTTTTAGCAATCTGAAAGAGCAATGAAAAGAGCTGAACCAGTTTTAAATGGTGTAACAATTCCTCTGTATGTTCTAGCTTCGAATACTGTTTCTTGGCTAAGCTAGGATGTAATAAGGTGAACCCATGAACCTGTTTTGACATGCATACTATGTGTTAGCCATGGATATCCTGAGCCCTAAGATGATAAAAACATTACAAGTATCCTTTCTTCCAAAATTACAACTTTATATTTAAATATATTTGTAGCCTATGGAATAAAAAGTGCCTCCACTTGTTATGTATTCTAAAATCTTGCTACTATTCCTCATTTATAATTAATTTCAGGTTTCCATGTTACTCAGATCCACCTAATAGCAGGTATTTATGCCTAAGACTACAGTTAAATTTCCAATTCATAAAATGCATTAAGCAAATCAGTGCGGTCATTAAGTGATTCATCTCATTGCTTCCTTCAAGGGTCAACATTACTTTTAGCTCTCAAGCTGGCAATGAATTTTACTTTAGTCCAGAGGTCTCCAAACCTAGCAACTTTAAGGCTTGTGGACTTCAACTCTCAGAATACTCCAGCCAGCTATTGGGGATCCCTGCTTTAGTCTGCTGTATGCTGGAAAGTCCATTATTCTTTAGGAAAACTGAAGAATCTTTCACTCTTTGTGGTCTGTTATAAAGGAAATAAAATTTACAATAAACTGAACTTATGGGTTGCAGCCTATTTTTACTAATTGCAAAATCAACAATTGTTTTTGCTTTAAGCCTTATATCATTTCTGGAAAATGCACCAATCAGATAGAATATCTAGTTACTATAGCTGCAATTGAATTTCAGCATTAAAAAAAAAGCGTTTGAAATAAAGCTTTAAGTTTTAAACATTTATAAAATGAAATAATAATTATACAACCTCTATATTTACTACCCATTAACCACCATAAAATCCTCTGCATAATTAGGCGGGTTATAAATGTTTTATATGAAATAACCAAAATGAATATGCAGACCAAGGACCCCTAGCTAACTGGAACTCAGACTGAATTAAACGTTTATAGGACTGTAATTTTAATTTCCAAATAAAAATAAAACTGTTTTATCCATTGTACGGTTAAAATATAGATCAAATACAATGCAATATGCTTCATATGTTTGAGCTACGGCATACTGGCTAATGAAGCCAAAGTTCATATTTTTCCAAGCAGTTCTCTCAAGAAAAAAAGTTTATAGCTTTTATGCCCCTCTTCCCTTCACAACACGTTAATTCCAGCTCTTGAATCGCACAAGACAAACAGTGACCTATTTTAGGAGAACAAATGGAAGAAAAATGAAAAACAGGATACTTGACAACAGCAAGGAAACCATGGCAACTCTACTAGAGACTACTGAGGTGCTTACTTTATTTTGGCCACCGTGATCAGCAAGCTGAGCCTTCAGCCTGGTGATTTCTATCTCCAGCAAACTGATTACTTCCTCATAGTCCAGTTCCATTCCACGAGCTTGCTTTTGAGCTGCTTCTGCGAGATGGATTCTGCTTCGCAAGGTTCTCGCCTCCTCCACAGATGCCTTGGCTTCCTACAGGGAATCAAATTCTATTTTTAAAATGTACCATTCAAGCTTAGTTGATTCTTTCATTTTGTTTTGACTGTGTAAAGTTACTTTTAATATACTGTATATTTTCTCCTTTAGAAATAGCTGGGAAAAGCAGACCCAAAGAGTTGCAAATACATGTATTGTTAATAGTTGCAGAAAGGGTGGCACCAAGAAAAAGAATAAAAAAGCTTGAGAATTCCCAAAGCCAATTCCCACTCTTATTGTTTCTGCTTGCCCTTCTGATAGGGTGGGCAGGCCTTGGGTCCTCTCTGTAAAACAGTGCCACACTTTCTGTGTTGTGGTGCTCCCTGTGGAACAACCTTTCCTGGAGATTCAGGTGGGCCTCACTATGTTGGCCTTTTTATTTCAAGTCATGGAAAACTTGATTTCTCTCCTGAGTATTGGGCCAAGTTATTTGGTAGGCTGTCTTAGCGCTGTGATTTTATGTGTTTTGTATTACTTTGGCACAATGTGCTGTTTTTAAATTATCTTTGTTTATTATTAGCTATTTAAATGGATGGCTAGCGCCCAGAATTATGTATTGAGTAGGCGGCCATAAACATTTAGCAATAGCACTTAGGCTTACATACAGCTTCAAAGTGCTTTACAGCTCTTTCTAAGTGGTTTACAGAGTCAGCATATTGCCCTCCAACAATCTGGGTCTTGGTTTTACTGACCTCGGAAGGAGGGAAGGCTGAGACAACCTTGAGCCAGTCAGGATCCAACTCCTGGCTGTAGGTAGAGTCATCCTGCAGTACTGCATTCTCACTGTGCCACTACAGCTTATTTATTTAAATAATAAATAAATAAATAAGAACTACTTGGCAAAGTGAGGCATCAGGAAAAATGGCAAATTAGTATTTTATTTGGCAGTAACTTCATTAAAATCACATTGCCAGCTTTGCATGAACAAAATTTTTAATGCACTTAATATAATCTGATGGGTTGTGAGAAAGGGAAAGTCATGGTTGGAGAAGCTAACAAAATTCTGAAAATGAGGGAGGTAAGGAATTTAAAGATTTGAAGTCAACAATCTACTAAATAATTACTAACTAAATAGCCATAACATTACACTGAAGAAATTAAAACAGAAGAGAGAAAAATAATTAGCAGAACATTTTGCCACATAAAGCTAACAATTGAAGGGTTGGCAAGAAAGAAAAAAAGAGAGATTTGGCTGGCCCCGAAAAGACAATAGAATTGGAGTCAAATGTGTTTTTCTGGGGAAAGCCATTTTAGAATTATTTACCTCACCTTCACTGTTTGGATAAAAACACAAAATGGACAGAAACTAATAACTTATAAAAGTTATGTTCCTTCTTAATTCAAACTCTCTACTATCATCCCAGTGCCAAAGAAGCCCTCCATCAAGGAACTGAATGACTACAGACCAGTTGCTCTAACATCTGTAGTTATGAAAATCTTTGAAAGGCTTGTGCTGTCCCACCTGAAAACCATCATGGATCCGCTGTTAGATCTCATGCAGTTTGCATACTGAGCAAATAGATCGACAGACGAAGCTGTTAATATGGCTCTGCACTACATCCTACAACACCTTGAATCTCCAAATACCTACGCAAGGGTCCTCTTTGTAGACTTCAGTTCAGCATTCAATACCATCATTCCAAACATTCTTCTAACTAAATTAAACCAGCTAGCAGTACCTGGACAAACTTGTAAGTGGATAAGCTTCCTAACAGACAGGAAGCAGCAGGTGAAGCTAGGCAGAATCACATCTGATACCTGTACAATTAACACCCCACCCCAAGGCTGTGTGCTTTCTCCACTTCTCTTCTTCCTATATACCAATGACTGCATCTCAAATGATCCATCTATTAAAATACTGAAGTTTGCAAATGACACAACAGTGATTGGTCTCATTCGAGACAACAACGAATCCGCATACAGACAGGAGGTTATACAACTTGCCTCGTGGTGTAACCGGAACAATCTGGAACTGAACACACTCAAAACCATAGAAATGGTGGTAGACTTTAGAAGAAACCCTCCCATACTACCACCTCTTACAATACTAGACAACACAGTATCAACAGTAGAAACCTTCAAATTTCTAGGTTTTACTATATCACATGACCTAAAATGGACACCTAACATCAAAAATGTCATCAAAAAGCACAACAAAGAATGTTCTTTCTGCGCCATCTCAGAAAGCTCAAACTGCCCAAGGAGCTGCTGATGCAGTTCTATAGAGGAATTATTGAGTCTATCATCTGCACCTCCATAACTGTCTGGTTTGATTCTGCAACACAACAGGACAGACACAGACTTCAGAGGATAATTAGGACTGCAGAAAAAAACAATTACTACAAATCTGCCTTCAATCGAGGAATTGGAAACTACACAAGTCAAAAAGAGGACTGTGAAAATATTTACAGACCCCTCACATCATAACAGACATAAATTGTTTCAATTCTTTCTCTCAATATGACGCTATAGAGCACTGCACACCAGAACAACTAAACGCAGGAAGTTTTTCCCCAAACGCCATCACTCCCCTAAACAAATAATTCCCTCAACACTATTTACAAAGTCTGCACTACTATTACTGTTAATCTTCTCATCACTCCTTATCACTCATCCCCTCCCATTTGTGACTGTATGACTGTAACTTTGTTGCTTGTATCTTTATGATTTATATTGACTGTTTCCTAGTATGATTTGAATACTTATTGTACTCTATGACTATTATTAAGAGTTGTACCTTATGATTCTTGACTCTTGACGAATGTATCTTTTCTTTTATGTATATTGAGAGCATTTGCATCAAGACAAATTCCTTGTGTCCAATCACAATTGGCCAATAAAAGAATTCTAATTCTAATTATTTCTGTGTGAAAAAGTGAGACTTTGGTTTTATTAAGCAATATATTATAAGCTTAACTATATATTCAGCAAATATTGCGAGCCCATTGGCAAAAGAAAGCTCAGGACCATATTGGTTGGAAATATGTGGGAGGCCTTCATCCTGCAGTGAATAGACAATGGCTAAAATGATGATGATATTTATAAGGTAGCCCTTCAGTTACAACCGTAATCCAGTCCATAATTTTGGTCGTAACTTGTGACAATAGTAAAACAGGTCGTCATGTAACCAGATCAGATTTTTACAACCTTTTTACTGGCAACAACATGGATGTTGTTAAGTGAATGCCACAGTTGTTAAATGAATGCTATAATTGTTAAGCAAATGCCACGGTTGTTAAGTGAACCCCTTGTTTGCTATGAGATGTTTTGCTAAAATGTTGTAAATCACAGTGATGTGACTGCGGCATGCTGCAAATAGTTGTAAATGCAGGATAGTTGCCAAGCAGCCAAATGCGGTCACGTGACCATGGAGGTGGGTACAGAGACAGATGTCAGAATTTTGAATCCGTGTTATAGGTAGCTTTTCCAGGATTTGTTATAACTTTGAATGGTCCCTAATGCGACCTGTTAGTTGAGGACTACCTGTATATCATAAACTACATAATCAAGTTATGAAATATGGAAAACAGATATGTCAGAAACAAGAAATATGGTCTCACTGGGGGCCAAAAAACAGATTGAATTGCTTAATTTAATTTTACAGATACGCTACCCACTTGTTTGGTAATCTGCAGCTCTTCAGCTAGTTGTTTTCTCACACGTTCTGACTTTGCAAATTCTTCCTAAAACATACACAGAGAAAAGATAAGCCGTTAAATTTAGAGATTTGTTTTACCCCACCACCTCCCATCATACAATGACATTTTGATATAAGAAAATCTGGCTGGTTATAGCAACTACTAATAATGTCAACTATAAAACGTTGACCTTATTGGAGTAACTGCCGGAACCCTGACAAATAAATGATTTCAGCTTCCTAGAAAATTGACCAAAGCTTCTGGGAATCTGAAACTCTCTTCTCAAAGTATGGTCCTGCCCCTGTTTCCTGCTCTCCTTGTCTATGGAGATTCTCAGTCATCCAGGTCATGATTGTCCCAAAGGTGCTTTTTTTTCCCCTTTTTTGAGAGGCAATTAGATTTTCTGGTTTTTGTTTGAAGACAATTTGCTTCTCACACAAGAAGCTTCTTCAGAACAAACACATCATGACTATATGCAGGAGGTCCATCTACATTTAAAAAACACAGGTCACTCTTTTGAAGACAATGAAGTTGACATTTTGGACAGAGAGGACCACTAGTTTGAAAGAGAGGTCAAAGAGGCCATCTATGTCAACATTGAACAGCCCTCTCTTAACAGAGGGGGAGGGATACGACATCATCTATCTGCAGTCTATAATACAGTCCTTTCAGCAGTTCCAAGAAGGCTCCATGCCTATTTCCACCACTCAGGTGACCCTGAGACAGATAAACCTCCAGGTGACCTTAACGATCCGTTAAAAGAATGCAAATGACCAGCTGTCTGCAAGGTATATAAATCCTTCCATTCCCCACCATCCAGTCAGAGCTAGAGAAGCTTCTTGGATAAGAAGTGAAACTTCTTCAAAGAAAAATCAGAAAGTCCAGTTGCCTCTTGAAAAAGAGGAAAAAAGGCACCTGCGCTATCTTGCTCTTCCTGTGACAATGGGTGTTCCCATCTGCCTTCTAGTCACATTTGTCCTATCTTCCCAAATCCCTAGAAACCCCTCCTATCCCATATCATTAGGACCGGGGTGGGATGTTACCGGTTCTGCCCGGCTCTGTAGAACCAGTAGCTCTGAAGAGCAGCAGACATAGAATCCCACCCCTGCTTAAGACCATTCAGTCCTCCCAGGCCTGTGGGCTGCTTCTGATTAATACTCATCAGCTCCGAGTCCATCCACCATAAACAAACAAAAAAAACACAATTATCCACTTATATCTTTCACCGACCACCTGCCAGAATCTGCTTCTGTCAGGGACATAAAAAGCAACCACCTATATGACTATCAAGCAAACGGTGCAGTTTCCTCCTTTCCTTACTGGAGAGTGGAACCAGTCATTTTCCTTCCACTCCACCTAATCCAACTTTATTAACTGTACTGTTCCACTAGTGACTATTGCTTAAAAAACAAAAACATGGGCTGCAACTCAGTGTTCCTCCTATCTGGGATCATAAAAATGGTGACAAAATTAACATTCTGAGCAGGTGAAGTAATGAAAATTTCCTGTTGCTTCAGGAACCAAGAATTATTTTCTTAGAAATACTAAGATTAAATTAAACGCACAATTTTTTTCAATTACAGTAGAACCTCGGGTCACGAATGCCCCTATTCGCGACCAAATCAGGTGATGACCAACGATTTGGGAAAATTGTTGTGGTTGTGAACAGATCCTCGGGTGCTGATCAGTGCTGTCGCAGCAATTTTCCTTGCCATGGCGATTTCCCCTTTCACGTGTGCATAGAACTGTAGGTGCATGTGCACACGGTCGTGCTTCCGGCCACAACCAAATCGGGTTGTAACTGTAGTCCTGGAATGGATTATGGTCGTGACCCGAGGTTCTACTGTATTTTTCTTCTTCTTTTCATTCATTCCATTGAGATACTTCAAATTCTACTTAATCACAATATGTGCATGTGTTCTGACCCAAACCTTTTTCCAATAAAACAAACACGAACCTTTTAATTTTTCTTACAAAAACCCAGTTAAAAAGCTGCTGCAAACTAATTAACTTTGATAAGCCTGAACCTCCTCAAAACTGTGCGAGGCTGCCAAGAATAACAGATAAGGTTACCTAGAAATATTTTACAACACAAGAGTCTTCAAATACCAACTAAGATACTGCAATGTATATGAGGCTTGAGTTTCAAAACGTCTTTGCTTCCTACAAAGAATGTCCGATTCATAGCTGGCTTTTATCTTCTTGAAGGAGGGGCCATTACCTTGCAGCCTTACTCCCGAGTTGCCCATGCTGCTGCAGCTGCTCTTTCCTTAGACAGCCCTGCGCGCACGCGCATTTGGCACAGGCTCCTCAGGAACCTCCTCATAGCTGCTGCCAGCCTCCACAATCTCTGAAGGCAGCAGTCCACTCCCTAATGGTCCTGGCCCCTCATCTGAGTCCTCGCTCTCCTCAGCCATCTGTTCCTGCTGCCGGCTAACCACAACAATATGTGACATAATACACAAATGTACAGAAACAGCATTTTGGCTCCTTTTGTTCTGCAAGGATAACTGTAGCTACATTATAGGGAGTGCCAAGCTCTCCTGACTGCTAATCAAAATCTGTTATTTTCTTTGAAGACTTACTAAAGCAATCAAGTCAAGAGTAAGCTGTAGCAATCAGAAGAGCAGATTAGAAATGCTTCAGCTTTTTAATAGGAGAAAGTCATTCATCAGATTGGTTGGTTTGTTCTTTTTCACAATGTTGGAGATCAGCTATTAAAGGTAGTTCTCGACTTCGAACAGTTCATTTAGTGACTCTTTCAAAGTTACAACGGCACTGACTTATGACCATTTTTCACAATTACAACTGTTGCAGTATCCCCATGGTTACATGATCAAAATTCAGACACTTGGTACCTGACTCATATTTATGACAGTTGCAGTGTTCTAGGGTCGTGTGATTACATTTGCAACCTTCTGACAATCAAAGTCAATGGGAAAGCCAGATTCACTTAACAACCATGTTACTAACAACTGGAGTGATTCACTTAACAGCTGTGGCATGAAAGGTTGTAAAATGGGGAAAAACTCGTTTAACAACTATCTTGCTTAGCAAGAGAAACTTTGGGCTCAATTGTGATCATAAGTTGAGGACTACCTGTATGTACAATCTCTTCCCTCCCCCTTCATTCTGGAAATTCCCCCTGCAGCTGTTTTTGCTTATTTAAAAATTAGGGATGTGCAATTGTTCAATGAAACGAACAGCAAATATAGTTTAGCTTGCAATGCTAAATATGAAGGAAGATATTTGGGTTCTGTGAAAAAAAAATGGAACAGGCTTGTTATTTTTATTGACATTTCCTTCCTAATGGCATCTGAAAGCAGTGAACTGACAGCTTAACATCATTGTGTGGCACATCAATCAGGGAGGCTGGAGGCAAGAAAGAAGAAAAAAAAGGTTTTTTGTCTGAAGCATCTTAATGAATGAGACCTCGTGGGAAAGGCACGACAATGTCATATACATAGTTGAAAGAAAAATGCTTAATTTGCCTTAAAATAGTGGGTTAAAAAAGATATAAAAATGCAGGCAAAAGAGGAAAAAGGAACCAATGTTCTCCACAATATTGTTAAAGGAAGACTATAATAGGTCAAATTTTAGTTGGAAAGAGGAAACTTTTAATTGGATTGCCATTTTTGCAATGGAAACATCAGTCAGGATGCAAGTAAATGGGGAATCGTGCTCTCCTCAAAAGAAATGAAACACTTCAATTTTTCACTGAATAATTTGTTTTAAAAATTGGGGAACTGCAAATGCAATTCAGATACTCCACCACATACATACAGATGTGATTCCCTTCTGCAACAAATGAACCAAGGTGACTGAATTTCTTCCTAACGGGAAATTGAGTTTAGGGCTGTGTGTTCACAGACACATATTCTTCCTCTGCTCCAAACTAGCTCAGCATGCTGGATTAAGCAAGCGATCTCCTACAGAGACCCAGGCAGCCTTTAAAGAAGAATAGATGTGGCTCAGGGTTGAAATGAGGGGCTCCATGGTGCTCTCTGAGCTTGGCTGTTTTCTTGCAGATATTTCCATTTCCCAAACTAGACAACAACCATCAGTGCTAGTCAAACTAGGTAACCTCATCAGTGCTAGTAACTTGGTGGCTTTCTTGGTTGCACTCCAACCCATCAGGTCCTTTTAAAGGTCATTTTGAGTATGGTACGTTATGGGTGCTCTTGAAGACTAGCTGTCATAGTTAGCAGAACAAGTCATAAAACAGCCTCCACACTAGAAGATAGCCTGTGAGAATGCCCCTTGTTAATTCCTCTTCCCCTTTCCCCAGCATGGTGCCACTTGCTATTTTTTCTGGATATGGTTGAATATATTCTTAAACAAGCTTTGTTTATCTATGTGGGGCCTCAAAGCATTTGTGGAAATAATTATAAAGTTAGGCATCTCCAATCCTATGCTTTGCAGTTGTGTTGGATTAGCTCCTATCATGTGCAGCCAACTATTGATGACAGTTGTTGTCCACACTGGGAAAGTCTGATCTAAAAATCCCTGATAAAAAAACTCTCAATTTCCCATCTTTACAGAAACAATCATAGGGAACCTCCCCTTATGAGAGTCTCTGCTTTCTGACTTCTTTTATATATATATATCTGATGAAGCCTGATAATGGCAGATGAGATTCTGCTGAAACGTCGCTACAACTTTAAAAGCACAACTACAATGACGTGGGAAAATACCCGAACAAAGCTGAATGCCATACATGTAAGTACCTGCGAAGTATCTAGGCAACGTTTCGATGAAGTCTCATTCATCATCTTCAGGCTTCTGTCTTCGGCTCTGTGCTTCTCAGAGTGAGCCGAAGACAGAAGCCTGAAGATGATGAATGAGACTTCATCGAAACGTTGCCTAAATACTTCAAATCGTACGCGGGAGAAAACCCGAACAACCAAAGATCCACATACAAATACCCAGGAGAACCTCAGAGTGTGTGTGTGTGTGTGTATATATATATAGTATATATATATACAGGTTTATATATATATACAGTATATATATATATATATACTGTATATATATATACAGGTTTTTGGTTTAAATATCATAATACATTATATTACATTTGACTAATATTAAATAATAGCTTTAACCATGATTACTATTCTTACATCTTTATATAGTTTACAAAATTTTGTTTTACTTTCTTAAAGGTTATTTTGGATAAACTTTTTGTCTCACTTCTTAGTTCTGTTTGTTAGCCATTTATACCAATTGTTCCAAATTAAGAAGAATTCAGAGTCATCTTTTTCTTTCAATTTCATTTTTAAGATATTCATCTCAGCACTTTCCGTTACTTTATGTAGGAGTATTTGGGGTTTTCCATACCTGTGCAAAGGCTATTCTGGCGGCTGTTGTAATGTGTAGCAATAGGTATTTTACTTCTTTCTGACTTCTATTTACTTTCATCACATTTAATTCAGTTGGTTAAACAATCCCTCCTAATTCCACTTCATCAAAGCTTTTCATAAATAAGTTCAGTGAGGCCCACAGTTAAAAATAATCAAAATTAAAGAGATGGTGTTACAAACTAAAGCATGCACATGGTCCAACAATACGTCACTGGAATAGGTAGCAGTAGCGATTACACGTTGCCAGCATTGAAGACATATTGTGGAGGTCTGCAGAGAATTTTCTCCTGGGGACGTATCCAAGGACATAATCAAACAAATGTTTTTTTTAATTACTTAACAAATTAACTCTTAGTGCAGGCAATCACACAGGAACAGTGATTGTTTCATGAAGTTAGTAGAAAACTAATGAAACAAAAATTATGACGCCAGAAACCATTTGCCAGTACAGCCTTTAAAATCTTGCACTAAGCAACACTTTTATTAAAGGTTTAAATCCCAGCACATGTTTAAGACTAGAAACCTATGCTTCTTATTAAGAAGTATCAATCAAAGCTTTATTATGGTCATAGGCCAGCATAGGAAAGGTGGGATACAGTCATTCAAAAAGCATAAAGGAGTAAAAATAAAAAAAATATAAAAAATTATGAAAACCTATAAGATATAATAGATTCCTGAATGAAAAACTAAAAAGTATACTTTAAAAAGTGGGAAACTTAAAAGATGGCAGCATTAGATGGATTCAGGGGAGCATAAAAGGTTGGGATATGGTACATCTATCAAGTTACAAGACATTCTAATATGGCGAATTAGTTGTTCATTAAATCTAGTTTATAGCACAGGTCACCATCTGATGAATTTTGTTGCTGCACAGTATGTTGCAACACTGTATGTTGTAGCAGGATTAGTTAAGAAGCACAGCTTTATATGATTCATATTTTTTTGTTTTTGTTTTGTTTGGTTTCTGAATGAAAAGCTAAACGAGGATGTCTATGTCGCAAGCTATCTTGAGTCAGTCTACTGAGCAGGCCATCATTTAGGAAGCTCAGAGACCTTAAGAACAACAGCAACAACAATGGAAGTTGTTGCAATATCAGTTAAACAAACCAATCCACACAATACAATAAAACAAAAGGGTTCCCAAAGGAGCTTCCTCAGTATGTCGTTGCACTTGGCTGACCTTGTCTAAAGCTGCAAAGCTCAGCCAAGCTGGGTCTGGTTGGAAGTTGGAAGAGAAGCCACCAGGGAATTCTTACAGACTAGATTGGGAACCCGAAAAAATATCCCAGAAGGCAATAGCAAAACACATCCATATTGTTGCGGAAAAAACTGCATAGATATACCCAAGTAATCTCCAAGGGTTATATTTAACATGCAAGCCACTTTACCTCTTCCTAATTAACAGGGAAGATATTTAAAAAATTAGTTGTGTTTTCATTCGACTTCTACCCCCCACACCCCCACCCAAGATTTACAAAAAATACAATGGGCCAATGGGAATGGAATGGATTAAAAATATTAATATATAAATTAAAAAGCAACCAGAAATCATTACTGGCGAACAATAGCTGGGGCAGGACTCTATTTATTTAAGAAGTTTGTCCAAGTCCAGAAGATTCAAGCAGTGTGCAACATCAAAACAACAACAACACAAAAGAACAAACTGCCTCTTGCAAAAAAACAACATTAAACAGATATATATATATAAAATCCTAACATCTTAAAAGGAGTTCATCATTCGCCCTAACCCAAGGAAACAAATTTTCAAAGATGTTTTTAAGTGATAGGTGGGATCGGGGCCATATGAGTATCTGGAAGAATGAAGGAAGCATGGTAGAAAAATCCTATTTCCTGGTGTCATCGGGTGACACTGTGTGATTGATGGAACCTGGAGCATGCCCACCCATCATACAGGATGCGTAGGAAATATCAGAGCTAGGCAGTCCCACAGATAGCCAGGCCCTCCTTAGGTCACAAAGGATTATAAATTGCAAGCAGCCCTTGAATTGTACTCGGAAGCTAATTGGCAACCAATACAGCTCATGGAGCAGGTGTTATATGGATACATCATGGCATTTTATAGAAGAACCAATCACTGCTGCATATTTTCTTCTCCCTGTCCAAAATGGCATTGAGACATTTATACTATTTTTCTATTACAGCAAGAACAAAATTAAACTGCATCATAGTTAGCAAGTTTTAACAGTACAGTATAAAGATAGCAAATAATACTAATTTTATCTAATCATTCTACACTTAGCTCACCTTTTTATTAAGTGGTAAGTACTGCAATAGGTTTAAAATAAGCAAAGGTTAGTGCGGATGTTTTAATTGATCAAAGCAAAATGTCACCTTCAATTGACATAGTTCTTTCAAAGCTTCATTTTTCTCTTTCCTAAGTTGTTCCATTTCCTGTGTTTCCAAACGATTACAAGATACAAGCTGTATGCAGAAAAAAAAAAAATCAGATGCAGACGTTGAGGGAATATATGGATACAAATAACAGAAAAATAATAACATGTCTGTTATTTAACCTAATACTTTAAGCTTTCTCATTCAGCCCACTGAACAAAAACTCCTTTCTACTATTATAAAGTTACAAAACCATAGGTACAACGAAAGAGGGTGTTTGGAGAAGTATTTCATTTTTAGATTTTGAAATAATAGATACAGGTAGTCCTCTACTTATGATCACAATTGAGCTCAAAATTTCTGTTAAGTGAGACATTTGTTACGTGAGTTTTGCTCCATTTCACAATCTTTCTTGACATAGTTATTAAGTGAATCACTGCAGATGATGAGTTAGTAATATGGTTGTTAAGTGAATCTGGCTTCCTCGTTGATTTTGCTTGTCAGAAGATTGCAAAAGGTGAACACGTGACCTTAGGACACAGCAACGGTCGTAAGTAGGGGTCAGTTTGCCAAGCATCTGAATTTTGTTCACATGATCATAGGGATGCTACAAAGGTTGTAAGTGTGAAAAATGGTCATAAGTCACTTTTTTCATTGCTGTTGTAACTGAATGGTCACTAAGTGAACTGTTGTAAGTCAAGGACTACCTGTAGTGTACTGTACCTGTAGTTTTTGATTTACAACTAATTGTTTAACAAATATTTAAAGTTATGATGGACTTTAAAAGAAAACAACTTAAGCCTGGCTTTGAAGTTACAGTTGTCACATTTTTGGGTGCTTGGCAAAGGGCTCACATTTATAGCTAGTTACCAGCATTTTGCATATGACTGAGATTTGTGACTTTTTTTGCCATTTTCTGATAGAAAATGGCAAAAAGCGCCCATTGGATAGGCTGGATTCGCTTACAGACCACATGATTCACCCCAGTCACGTGGTGCCTCAACATATGACCACAACGAATTATAACAGAAATTCTGGGCTCCATTGGGATCATAAGTTGAGGACTACCTGTAGTAGTTTAACTTGCAATGCTTTTTACATTCGTGAAAGCAAGCTTGAGTTATTCACTACTGATAAATAAATATGCACACAACTGATCTAGTTAAAACTCTCACAAGCTATAATTAAAATGGCAACAAGACAAATAACTCATGAAAGACAGCAGTAGGAAAGCAAGTGAAGATTATAATCCAATGGTTAGTTTTCAATAATTGCTGGAACTTTTAAAGAAAAAGTTTTTAATTTCTTTTAAAGAAAAAGTTTTTAATCGAAGATGCTGTAACTCCATGGCATCAGGACCCTGCTGCTATTAGGGCCTAATTTGTCATCCACAATTATTTGATATAAGCTTTCTCCACCTACTGCCCTCAAGTGAAGTTGGGAAGACTATTTTAAACAAACCTACACTGTGCACCTACATTAGCTATAATTTGTGGAAAACCATAATTGTATAACAGCATTGAAAGTAATTTGCTCCTTGCTATGAGAGCTCCTAGGATGCTCTATCTTTTCTAGTCATCCTTTTGAAAGGCCACAGTGGGCTGGGAGTCTTCAAGGAATTCCACATCAAAATTTCACCACTTTTTTATTTGGAGATAAGAATTATATTATTTACCTGTGAATCTAGTAATTTAGCAATTTCATGCACAGGGCTATGACCAGTCTCATCCAGCTGCTGAGAAAATAAATTCCTTGCCACCTGAATAAAATCTAACATATAATTTAAGTCAGGACAACACTATAATGTCAACCACAGAAAAGTCAACTTATATTTTTCCTTAAACAACTTAGTACCTGTTAGTTATTTAGTATTTCAGAATGTCAGTTTCAGCTCTAAATTGCCAAGAAAACTGTAGGGACTTTTCTTTATGGTCACCAAGAATCAAGTCTGACTCGAAGGCACAAAAGAGAGCAAGTGCTAAAACTTGGATACTTCCTCCTTCTCCCCCTCATGTATTCAGAATCATTTAGGTAAACTAGCATGAAATAAAAATGAAATGGAAAGCTATGGTCTTGCGATTGCCTTCCAAACTAAAATTGCGTGCAGCAGCACAACCTTGGTTTGTTTTTCATATTTGAAAAGCAAACATCACACCATTGCTGTCATATAGACCAAATGTAAGGATAAATTACAGTTTTCATTAAAGAAGTAACTAATTGATAGCTAGTTCTAACTGATCTGATAACTGATGCAAATCCTTCAGAGAAAGTATAGGTGCAAAGATAAATGAATGTGTGTGCACACTTATGCAGCCAAACTTATTGTGCAACTGTATTAACTTGGAAAAAAAATGACTATTTGAAAGATTTAAAGAAAAATAGTTTGTATGGGCTCAGGTGTGTTGAGAAGCTCTTCTAAAAATGCTGTTGTGTTATTACAGTACAGAAATTTAACCACCAACAGGAATGGGAATTCTATTGCCTTAGCTCTGAAGATGGGATGGGCCCCTGGCTAAAAATGCAATCTTAAATCTCATAATGCTAATTAATTGATTAATGTTGAATTAAAATTCAATTTGCATTGTATTTTTGAGGTAAAATACTACATTATGTAATGAAAGAAAAAAAATGATAAGTTTTGATAAGCTCGGAGCAGAACTCAGTTCCTGCTTCATAGTGAAGATGAGCAGAACAAGGAGAATGAGGAAAATGTGTTATGTGAAGACACCACTCTCAAAAACCCAGGATCAGGCCTTAAATTTTCATTCACTATTCTAAAATGTAATATCTGCATAACATCTGTCTAAATTTTGTTCCCTTAATGGTTACCTGTATATCTATGAAAAGCTCACAACAAAAATACAAAGGCAGTAAGATCTTTTTAACCAACTTTATACCTCATCTGCAAATTTGACTCACTAACCCTCCTTTTCATTTATTCTGCACATTTAGTCTTTTTCTTAAGTATATTGAAATAAGGCTGTCTAACAAGTGTTTTGATTTGTAAGTAAGAAAGTGCTGGGTAACAAATATCTTTTCAATGGGAATGCAAATCATCAGTCATATTATACACATTATACATAAGGGCTTTATGGAGTGCTTGACCAAATATCCAATCAACCCTGAAGCACATTTAGTGACTTCTGTCAGGAAAAGTTGTATGTAAAATTCTGAAATCTCACTTATACCAGTAGTTTCCTAAAAATCCCTTGACTTAATTACCTCCAAAACAGACTGTTCCTTCAGAATCCCTTGGTAGCTGTTGTCTTAGGATTTCTTGTTCTTCTTTTGTTGGCTGAATCCCAAGATACTTCAAAGCCTAGTAAAAAAAAACGAAAGAAAAAACCTGAAAGTAAGGAGTCTCTGGTTTTCTAATCTAAAAGACTTTGCTTTATAGCTCTGGGTTAGAAACAAAACCTGTGTAGTGTCTACCTTTCACAAATAGAAAGCGAACCTTTTCATGGGAAGAAACTGTTTTCACTATGTAATTTTCTCATACTATCCACAAATTTTAAAAAAAGTATTCAGCTTTTAGATTCAATCAAATCCAAATTGCCTGTAGTCTCATTCTTTTCAGTAGGCTCTGGCTGAAATTGATGAAAAATTCAGAACAGTGATGCTGAGATGATTATACTCTTCACTGGCCTAAGCACATGAATACAGACAAATCTCCTTATGCTGCGTCACCTGTAAAGTCATGGAATCAATTATTAACCAATCCATCATTCTCCACTTAGAGACAAACAACCTACTCTCTAATAAATAATTTGGTTTCAGAAAAAAATTATCCTGCATTCTGCAACTCTTACACTGCAAAAACATAGACTAAACAACTCGATCAGGGCGAAGCAATAGACGCAATCTACATAGATTTCTGTAAAGCCTTTGATTCAGTGGTACACGACAAACTACTACTAAAACTAAAATCTTACGGTATCTCTGGACACCTGCAGAACTGGATAGAAGCATTCCTGTCAAACAGACAACAAATGGTCAAAATTGGGAGCATCCTATCAAATTCTGTACCTGTCAACAGTGGTGTCCCCCAAGGCAGTGTTCTAGGACCAACTCTCTTCATACTCTACATAAATGACCTCTGTGATCATATTAAGAGCAACTGTGTTCTCTTTGCTGACGATGTAAAGCTATTCAACACCATAGACAATACTGCTACCCTTCAAAAAGACCTCGACTATGTATCAGAATGGTCAAACAAATGGCAACTTCAAATCTCAACAAATAAATGCTCTGTCTTACATATTGGCAAAAAAATATATCAGAAAATAAAATACAGGCTAAATAGTCAAGACCTTGTTGATGATCCAAGCTCTGTAAAGGACCTTGGAGTACTCATCTCTAATGACCTAAGTGCTAGAGCTCACTGTAACTACACAGCCAAAAAGGCATTAAGAGTTGTTAACCTAATCTTACATAGCTTTTTCTCTGGTAATATTGCACTACTAACTAGAGCATACAAAACATTTGCTAGACCAATACTCGAATACAGCTCATCAGTCTGGAACCCACATTATGTATCTGATATTAACACAGTTGAGAAAGTCCAGAAATATTTCACAAGAACAGTTCTCCACTCCTCTGCTTGTTGCAGAATACCTTATGCCACTAGACTCGAAATTCTAGACCTAGAAAACCTAGAAGAACTACGCCGCCTTCGGTCTGATCTAAGTATAGTATATAAAATCATACATTGCAATGTCCTACCTGTCAATGAATACTTCAGCTTCAACCATAACAATACAAGAGCAAACAGTAGATACAAACTCAAGGTTAATTGTACCAAACTTGATTGCAGGAAATACGACTTCAGCAACAGAGTAGTCAATGTCTGGAATACTCTACCTGACTCTGTAGTTTCTTCCCCAAACCCCAAAAACTTTAATCTTAGACTGTCTACTATTGACCTCACCCCTTTCATAAGAGGTCTGTAGGGGGAGTGCATAAGCGCACCAATGTGCCTACCATCCCTGTCCTATTGTTTCTTTTATTTTTCTTATATGTATCCATATATTCATAACTATGTTTTTACTTATACCTATTATCTTGTAAGCAATTGACAAACCAAATAAAATAAATAAAAAATAAAGACCTGTTTGCAAATTATGTATAAAAGCCTTAATTGCCTTCCTGCATATACACATAGATTTAAAAGGGACATTTCTGAAAAGCAGCTAATGCAATTTGAGACAACTCTTCAACAACATTACTAGTTCTAAAAGAAACAAAGGACAAAAGGGAAAACAAATCCTAAAAGCAAATTTCAATGAATATATACCATATACCAAAATAATACATCTTAAAGTGAACAGAGCTTGCAAAATCCAAGGTTTCCCTTCAGTCAATATTATTACAAGGTAAAAAGGAAAATAAATTCTTCTTGGTCAACAATTTTGAAAAATAATGAATTGTAATGAAAGCATTGTGATAAAACTTTTACAAGAGGGGAAAAAGTTACACTACTGAGAACCAAACATTTTCTTCTCGAATTGTAGATATTTCAAGGAAGGAAGCATAAGGAGAAATGGGAACATTTCAAATATCAAGAGGAAATTTCACTAAATATGGAAAATACCAACACCAACAGGTTAAAATCTTCTAATAATCAGGGATGATTTATGCTACATGTAAATGCAGTACACCTATGGAATATATTGTTTCAAATCATACAGAAATGATTCTGCAATCTTTCTATTATTTTGGAGGAGTGTTATTCATACTTGGTGCATTGAAAGTATTTTTGGCTACAGTCTAGGCACAACTTCTGTCCAGAGCCCAATTAGGACCATATAGCTTCTTTACTCCCTTGGAGGGTAGAAGTCTATATTTTTAAGGTATATATTTTAAGTTCCACAGGGAGTTCCTAATGTAGATTTGCACTTAGGTCCCAACATGACTAAAACTGAGGCACATATTTAGATATGCTTCTTCTTATACTGGTTAAACTACTTCTCCATCCCATGAGCTTGGCCTCCTGATTTTAATTGATTTTTGTCTCATCTTAAAATAGGACAAATGAGAAATTAAAGTATGTGATTTCTCTCCTGAAACAATTCTAATGATGGGATGTGACCTTACAGAGCAGCCTTTGAACAATGTGCCACAGATCTGGAAAGCCAATTAGATCTAGCTGTCCTACCTAAACATGTGCCCCTGAGCAGTCATCTCTCCTTTTTCAAGCTGGCAAAATATTTAAGCCAAATAACATTTCCCAAAGTCAGAAGAGCCCTGGCAAGATTTAATGTATAATTTCATGATATTCTATTTGAACAAAGACTCTTCCTCAGTGAAGAGTTATTGAAACATTGCCATGTTTTGCTAAACTGCTTTCATTAGAGAGAGAAGTGAGTTTATAACTCCTCACCATGTCAGATTTGTAGGCTAACTGGGTTCATTCCACTTATAATCAACATGGCCAATATAATTTCATTCTTCACAACGTGGCTAGTTTTTGGTTTACTATTTGTAAAATAATTTGTACTTCGACATCACTTTTATAATTATTTAGTTTTGTGAGTTTTATTTTTCATTTCTTCTTTCATGAATGGATCAGTGATTGTAATAAAATCAATTCATTCGTTTATTCAATTATTCATTTACTCACTCACTCCATTCACTAAGTTTGGGATTTCCTAGAAATTCTTATTATATGTTTCTCTCAACTTAACTCCTTGAAAAATGCATAAAGGAAGAATGGCACTGACTATATTTCGTGTGATTCTAGACAAAAGGGAGGCGCTGGTCAATCATATTAAAGTATCAGGAATCTAAAGATGAGGGAAATAACTGAAACCATCAAATCCATGATTTTATGAAAACCTAAATATGACTGTGATCAAGGGTTCTTTAGATATTAACAAGCTTAGAGAATTACTCAGTTGGATTCTACCAACCAGAGAAGAACAGCAGCTTGATTTATCTCTGTTTTTTAGAAGAAGAAAAAGCATTCAGTTCAAATAGAAGATTACCCTGAGACTTCAGTTTATGCTACTAGACCAAGGGCTACTGTGTCACTGCATCTTTTGTACTCCAAGGACATTATCCCAAGGAAAGACTAAAGTGGTTCCATACTTCAGCATCTTCAAGGAATTTGCTTTAAGTTTTCCTGTAGGAACAAATACTTTTGAGAACCTTTTTTTTCTCCCCTTGCCCAATTCATTTTCAATTTGTGCCATATTGTTTTCATTCACAAGCCTGAGGCAAGGGCTGTCTTGTTAATTTTTGTAAATTTGTCCCAGAACCTTTTCAGTTAAATGAAAAATCAAATGCTTCAGTTTAATTCAATGTAAAGATTTATTTATTTATTTATTTAGTGTGTGGCAAATACATGGACTAATAGTGGTTCAGATGTTAATGTGCGGGGTGGATGAATTCACTAAATTAGGTGAATGTACAGATACTAACATCTAAAAGAAGCCTGTCTCAACAAGTGACATTACCAGATTGACCTTCTCTGAGCTTGGAAAATAAGCAGAGTTTGGTTTAGTTTAAACCAGAATAGAAGAATTTCAGCAGTTGTCAGGGCTGGGAAGTTCTAAAAAATATTCCTGAAAAAATGATAGCAAATTATTTCTATATTTTACTGTAATAACAAAAAACACATATTGATGGTTTTGTTCATGGTTATGAGGAACTGAGAATGATCTGAATGGGATTTTTTCTTATAAAAGAAGCCTAAGATTTGGTAGAAGAATATTTTTTGAAAAGGAGATTAGATACACAATGACTAACAATTCTATTTAGCAACAAAAAAGACCCAAATGAAAAGTTTAATGAGGATCAGAAAACAAGAAACTACCTGAACATGGAATACAGAATAGATAGAGAGATATAGGATAGGACAAAATAGGAAAGCTAGGATTTAGAATAAGCTGAGTATAGCAACTAAAATACTTTTTTCAGGTATGTTTGAAGCAAGAATGTAAGAAATAATGATGACATTTTAATACACAACAGGGTGAAGGAAGAATGGGTGACCTCCTATTATGCCCTTGTCATCTCCAAAGTTAAATGCATGCAGACTCATGAATGTAACAACTGTGGGGATGACTGAGGACTGAAACCTGAGAAGCTGGTGAGGAAATTTCTAACTATCATAAAGGATAGTTCATATAATTTCAGTGTCAAATTATTTTCATTGTAAAGAATTAGCAAACTTGTTAATATGGCCTCAGAACTAAAATAATCTCTCAGAAATTCTGGAGAACTAACATGCTATAGAAAGGCACATCATGTTCTAACCTTCAGAGGAATCTTTGAAACTACAGGTTGACAAAAAATGTGGAGGTGATTTATTTCCGCAGCGCATATTTTTTCAACTGTGCACTGAATCTGGCTTCAAAGATATAGACTTTTTATTCAACTGTACTAGGATAGAAACTGCCTTGTGGGTTAAATTTTTGTTTGTGAGGTCTTGAATTCAATCTTGTTGACATTAATTTGTTTGGCAACGTGGGCAAGCAGGACATACTATAGTCCCAAACTACTCACAATTGTTGGTCAATGTAATCAGAGCTAAAAGCCAAAGAAATGTTTTCATAACTGAACAAAAATCTAATTTAAGTTGCTGAAAAGTTTGAAAGACAAAATATTGTTTTCTGAAAAGTTATGTTTTGTGCACAGGATACTATGGCTGATTGAGGTGGACTGAAAAGGGATGCTAGAGACAAAAAGTTTAGATTTATTAGGTATTATGAAACATTTCCTGACAAATCTGGACTTCATAAAATAGACCAGAATGCTGGCACTAAAATTAAACTGGCACAATGTCATTTCGTGTAAACTCAGAAAAGCATGGCTGAAATTAGTGAGCATCTGGTTCAAAGAAGAATTATCTCTGTCTAATAAAGATAAAAATGACTGTGGCATATTCAAAAGGAAGAAAGAATAGAAAAATAAGTATAAAACATGAGTTATCCATGAAAGCCACCCAGAGTAAATCTGGAATTGGGCAGTAACGAAACTGAATAAGTTGGTTTTAAAGGAGAAAAGAGATGCAAGAGAAACAAAGAAAATCTATTGGCATGGAAAATCAGTAACATAGTCATATCTGGATAGAAACCAGAAAAGCATAAAGTTTTCCACAGAACTGGATGATTTTATCAGATCTCTCGAAATATCTTAGTTTGCAGAACAATAACATCTATAATCTCCTTGGACAAAACGTATGAACTTGAGATGGGCTATGAAATCAGAGGGGCACTGTGGAAACAGCTGGTGTGGCATTGCATTTCAAGTGCTGGACAAGGACTGGGAAAATCCAAGTTCATGCTCCCTTTTTACTGAGTGATTTTGAGTCAATCTTTCTCTTTCAGCAAACTCTACCTTATAGCTTATTGTTCTGAGGACAAAATTAGGCAAAACCTCTATATATACCACCCTGAGTTCCAAGAGAAAAAGTGATGTGTATGTGTCCTTTATATATATAAGGTATAAATGCAATAATAGACAAAGAAAATGCAGAATTGGAAAAGTTCTTGCCTTGATCCCAACAGCTCTTATAATCTTAAGACAATTTATTGTTCTGTCTTGACTAAAAAGGATGGCAAGTTTGATGTCAACTGAAATTTACCTGGATGCCCTGCCAAAGACCAGATGGAAACATGTTGGTTAGGTAAGAATGAGCAAAACATGAAGGCATGGAAAACCACACTTGGCCCTTGGGATCCTACCTGTAAATTAATATTTACTCTATAAATTACGTGCTCTTCAGGCACAGCTAAAACTTTATTTGTTGCACTAGCTCCTTATTCTGAAAAGGCAACTTAACGTTTTCTGAAATGGCTTGCAGCTTAAAATATAACAGCTGCTGATGCAAGAATACCACAAGAAAATATGCAACGTTACTTGAAGGCACCTGCAACTTATTTCCAACTGTTTGGTGGGAGAGGGAACAGGGTAGACCAGAATGAATAAATCAACATCTATATAGTTTGCAAAACAACAAACAAACATTAAGCATTTCAAAAGCTAGCAAATGAAACCACAGCTTTAACTGAAGGATCAAATTCCTAAACAGATTGATACAGTTAGATCATTTCAATTCTGACTAAATAATTTCAAACTCATATCAATATAGATGCAGCATTGTAAGTTATAAGCTTGATGAATTAATTATTGACCCTAGTGGAATAATTTTATTTTGAAGTAATATAACAATAAAATGAATTATGAAAACTTCTCTGGAAGCTATCACATTACATTAAGAACAAATATTAAAATAAGGAGACATTTACCATTTCTAGTTTATCTGCTTTGAGGCGCACTGAGGGATTGAGGGAAATCTTCTTTTGTGGTCCGTAATCAATTCTCCAGGAAGGGCTAACAGCTATGAGACAACAGGTTGCATATTAATTGGAAATTTAATTGGCCTTCTTTTCTGCTGAAGGATATGTTCTAAACTCCTGCTGTTCAAACAATCCAGCTAATCACTTGAATGGCAAATATTGATTATTTTTTTCCTTTAAATATTAAGAAAGATGCTATTAAAATGGAAACTTACAGATGCTGTTAAGTCTCTTTATATTTATCCACCAAGAAATTAAGAGGGATGGGAAATACAACCACATATATCTGGGGTTTAATCAACAAAGTGGAACTAAAAGGTATTCTTTAAACAGTAAAGGTCATATTATGATAGAAACACATAGCTTATACCTGCGATACATTTTTAACAAGACACAGAAGACTGATTGATTGTGAATATACTTATGAAAATCATCCTTATGGCAATTATTTTTTTCTGGAAAAAACTCCCTTGGCAAATTACTCCCCCCCCCCCCAAATAATAATAATAATCACAATAGCACCATGATGCAAGGCTTTTCAAACTGATAAGTCTCAAAATATGATATGTTTGATTATAATTTCAATTTTCACCCAGCATCAGCACTGACATGATATAAGGCGGGCCTCTAATATGTTATTCTTCCCAATACAGATCTGGAGTAACACAGGGCATGGGAAACTTGCAACCTTTAGTAATTTGCACGCTTGTTCTTCCCTTCACTAAACAAGAGATGTTTGTGAATGGGAGCCAGCGTTCTGCTTCAAGCTTTCCAAAGATTAAGATATGATCCAAGGAGACTCTGTTCCTCTTTTGAAATAGCTGTATCACAAACTGTCCTTAAACTTTTCCTTGTTTTAAAATAGGTGGTCACACAAGTAGGAAAGGAGGGAGCTATTGTTCAAAAAACAGATCTCAGAAATAACTTGGGTATTTATATATACTGTCATTCCAACTTCTGAAGTGGATAAACTTTTACTGGGACATTGGTGAATTATTCACACACACACGTGTGTGTATGCATATGTGCATATGTGTATATGAGAGAGAGAAAGCTCTGGACCGTATTGGGTGGAAACATGTGGAAGAGGCTTTCATCCTGCCTTATATTTATATCCTTATATATATTTTTTCATCATGGAACTTAAAACAGTATATATGGTTTCTTAAAAGGATTCTCATCCATACTCTCATCAAAACAAAGGACTACTTGCTTCACCTAAGTCTTTGCATCTTCCTTGGTGTAACTAAGTTTGCATTGTACCCTGAGGTTTACAACCACAATCTCTTAACTTAAGTGCCATACAATAGCTATATTATACAAGCAAATCTTACAAATAAGGACAATCAACTTTTATTTGGTTGTCCCTGAAAAAAAGATACCTCAACAATTCATTCATTTCAGCTTTTCATTCACATTGTCAAAGAAAAAGTCCACATACTGCTTTTTTTAAAGAAAAGGAAACAAATTACATATTACTCATGTGAAAAGTAGTTGAACAAAGAGAGTGTGAACAAACAAGCATTTACCCCCAGCTGATACATCAATGGAACTGTTGTTTGTAGAAAATGCAGAAAATTGTTCTCCTTTCTTGAATCCAGTTTTCATCTGTGAAAGAAAAACATAAAAATTAGGAAGTACTATTTTCTAAAGTAGGTTGAGTCCCAGACTGATGTCAAGCTTTTATTAACTAAATTATTAGTCTATTATGGAGAAAAATGTGCTTACATTTTGCCCAACAAGTTTACTATAACAACTATCAAGGGGTGCCAAATAATACTTTTACTATAGTAATCTTAGTAGTCCATAGAATAAAGATTAGCAGAACCTTTCGATAGTATTGATTTTCCGTCTCAAACAGGATTAGAACTAGTGGGTATTTCTGCAAGTGCTTTTTTTCTAAAGTTATGATGTGGCCCCAAAGAAGGGGCAGAGTAAATATAGAGCAAGCTACAAACAACTTTATCAGAAGCTTGTGTCAATCAATGATAATGAAGTCAATTAAATCAAGAGCCAAAAAAAGAGGGGAGTGCTCCATTAGACACAGGAGCAGCATAAGTATCTCGGGATTTGTAACATGCTAGTCTTCACTAAGAGATCCTAGTTAAAGAACCCATCAACCCATCAGATGCTATGTTGAAAACCATTTTCAATCGATTTACTATATAATACCGACTCTTCCAACTGAGCTAGTTTGTATAATTTTTCCCTTGATTGTTTCATACAGAGAATGCCTAAATCATAATTTTGAGTACCAGTGATCCAGGGATAATTCATTGCCCTCCCCAAATATGTGCATCCAAAACCCTGCATTAAGTAATCTACAACTTGCCAGATGAAGGCATTTCTAAGTAAACCTGTAGCACTGAGGATTTCATTGTTTCATGAGATTTCTTACCAAGTTAGAAATTATTAATAACATTAAAAATAAACACCACCATGTTCTACATTACTTATGCAAATTTTATTAAAATCACATGCTGGTATTTTAGAAACACTGAAGACAGAATTTGTCAAATACAGTTTTAAAAATCTGTAGAATATCCATTCTGCATTCTCCCTACTTCTGTTCTCTCCTCTGGTGGTGGAGTTTATGTATATGATAGTATATTTATATAATGTACAATCATATGCATAGATTCCAACAATTCAATAGGCCTCAGTTCTTGGATTTTGGATTCTAATTGGAATTCTAGTCTAATCTAGGGCAAGTCCCTTCTCAGTCAGTACCAAAAAGAAACACAAAATCAAAGTCAACCACTCAGTGGAACAAAATATTCTCTAGGTCTGGGCAAAATCATGACGCAAAACAGCTGTGCATCTACGCAGGTGTAAGAACTGCTTTTGAAGTAGTCACATGAATCTTATAGTTGATACAACTGCTTTATAATTTTTAAAAAGGTTGTTTTGTATAGGAACCTGGCCTTGCAAAGACTTTTTTGAAAGTTTTTCATAACCACATTATTCTGGGTATTGAAATTTCTCTGGGAAATGCAGCATCCTTTTTCTAGTTGAGGGTTTATTTCAAACAGAAGCATGCTTTTTGTGCACTGCTTTTTTCCCCAGGCCTTGATGCAATCATGTTCTATTCAGATAGATTTCTCCATAAAGGAAGTATGCCGATAATGGAGAAACCAGCCCATATATTCTAGGACATATACTCCCCCTTAGGCTATTTAAAAATATTTCTTCTGCATTAAACATCTGTCTAGAGAAGTGCCATCTAATTTAACAGCAAATATAGACAATCAATTATTTTGAATACTAATTATCTTCTCAGAATAAAGCTGCTTCCTATAGTTTAAGAATAAATGAAAACAATTTTTTCTCAAAAGAAAGAGTGATGTTTTTCAGAGATTTATTTCTTTTCATAAAGCAAATTAAAGTGGGGTAAATATGAATTCACTTTGTGCAGAAAATTCAGGCTGCCACTTTGTTCATCCAAAACAGCTTTCTCCAGCCTTGGTGCCCTGTGATATGTTAAATTTATGCCCTGTGTAATATCCAAGAAATATAATAAATATAATCATGCCTGCTGGGAGCTGAAAGGCAACATATACAGAGGACATAAGATTGGAGAGCCAAGCCAACTAGAACAAGTTATTTTTGTGAGTTGTGCCATGTATAAGCCAGGAGTTCAAAGAAATAATTTGTGATAGTACTAATTAGTAGATAACCAGATGCTTTAAGTTGAAGGTGTGTAATTTACATAGCTCATTAGGCATCTGATAGTCATACTCTCCTCAGCAATAGCAATGGCCATGTAAAGAATTTTTTACATTGAATGCTTTATGCATAAGAAAAAAAAAGTACAACAGAAGTACCAATAGGATGAAACTAAACATGACACCCAGTCCTATTCAGCTGGCAATAATGAGCATGAAGAGCTTGCTTTTAGTTTATTTTCTCTTTGATTACTTAATTTCTGTTTTTCTTGTTTCTTCTTTTCAGAAAGTATGCGTTATTATGTTAGCATGCATAATTTTAAACTGCAAATTGCCTTAAAAGTGCTGAAAAGTAGACAGATAAACAGTGAATGTTTGCAAACAAACGGCTTCTCGTGTAATAGTTATGCCTCATTCATAAAACTTTACAGGGAGTCCAAACTTTGTTACCTTGCGATCAGTAATCCCATCTTCTTTTCTTATGACTTCGTTGATTTCCCCCCCCCCCCCCAATTAATTATTAGCAATCCCTGGAAATCGAATGGCATGTAACTTTTAAAATAATTGAGGGAAAAATGGCTTCCATCTAGAACAGCGGTTCCTGCTTTGCGGACCGGCCACAGTGGAGGGGACGGTTTTGTGTGCTTGCCCACCATTCGCATTGACCAGTTCCCAGGTGGTGGCAGGGGGAGGGGGGGGTTTCATACGTGAATGTCATGTGTGCAAATGCAGCTTCATGAGCTCGCCCAGAAAACCCCAAAGAATTCTCTTTTAAAGTCTTGCAGAGGAACTGTCTCATGCAAATAAATGCTCACCTACTGCTATATATTTGGAAATATTTGGGTATGCCCTTACAGAAGACAATAGTCACATCTAAATTCATAAAATGGTCAATGCATAAACAACATTGCAAGAAATCTGATTTTATGGATTTTTTTATTACAGTTGATTGTGGTCACGTATTTTGCAAAATTAAACTGTAAAGTTCTCTTGGAAGTGAAGTCAACTCCTATTAACTCCATGAGTATGGCTGAGGAGATTGCTTGGCACTGCTATCCTCCGAAATTTTTAAAACTGTTGTTCCTTGATTAGTTTGCAGCCTTATTTCCCAATGATTTCCGATCGAAGTACTAAATAAGTCTCCCCGTTCAGGTTTTTTAAACCAGCCAGGATCTATTAGGTGCTGATTCAGTAAAATGATTCCACTGAAAGCAGAGCAATTTTTTAAGGAAAGCAAAAAAATTATCTGAAAAATTAAACTTGCCATATCAAGGACAGATTTTTCGTCAGCCACATTTTCTTTATAAGACAATGTTGGACTGGGTAGATCATTCTGTAGTTCACATCTCTCTGAACTTGGCAAATTGGAGAATGGATGCATATTTTCCACTTCATCAAGATCAGAATCATGTCGAATGAAAGTTATCTCCCAAGAGGTATTTGATCTAAATGAATGAAAAAGATGTTAAACGGGTATCATATGCTGAGTCCTTCCAAGTAATAGGTTTTTTCTGTTGCTTTCTAGTTATTCAGGGAGCAAATTCATTAAGATTAAAATTTGTTACAGTTTTTACTTTTGATATAAGAGGGGAGTACAGGTGAACCTTGACTTACAACAATTTGTTTAGTGATCTTTTGAAGTTACAACAGCAATGAAAAGAATGACTTATGGCCTTTTTTCACACTTATGACCACTGCAGCATTCTCATGGTCATGTGATCAAAATTAAGATGCTTGGCAGCTGACTCATATTTATAATGGTAGCAGAGTCCGGGGGGTCATGTGATCATATTTTGCGACCCTCTGACAAAGAAAGTCAATAGGGAAGCCAGATTCACTTAACAACCGTGTTACTAATTTAACAACTGTGGTGAGTGACTTAGCAAATGTGGCAAGAAACGTTGTAAAATGAGGGAAAACTCACTTAACAAATGTCTCACTTAGCAACATAAATTCTGGGCTCCAATGTGGCCATAAGTCAAGGACTACCTATAGTTTAGTTGTGAAGACCTTAATATTTTTTAATGTTATGTGACTCAGGCATACAGTTTAGAAAAACAGAGACAAATCATCTGAAATTATCAAAATACATTGAATGAAGCCCATTCATATACTTTAATTTCCGATGATTACTTACAAAACACACACACACACACACTTTCAGAAGCACATGTCCAAAACTCTTTTTGACAATTGTAAGAGAGTTGAATACATGAACATAAATCTGAAAATGAATGTTGAAATGCTTGGTTTTCTAAGAAATGGTTACCTCGGCTGTGTTTGGTTGATTAGATTTCTTGCCTCTTCATAGGTGATTCCAATCAATGATTCCCCATTAACAGATACAAGCTGGTCACCAGGTCTCAATCGACCATCCTAACAAGAATAATGAGGACAGGGTTTCATGCCGATTTTTACCATCAGTTCAAAGAGCTTAACGAAAACTTCTGTAAATCTATTAACTGTGAAGGGAAACCAAGTTACCAGTCAGATTGAAGAAGGGTGAAAGGGCAGGGGAGAGCTGCTAAATGCAAGGGATATTGCCTTAACAGCAGTTTTGATCCCCACCCCCGTTGCATGCTCACATTCCCAAAACATTCTCTTTTTACTCATTCACTTTGGGTAGGTCTTCCCAATAAACAGTGGCATGGAGAACTTAATAGCAGGCCATTATGTAAGAGAGTGAGCCAGTTTGGTTAGCGGTTATGTACTGACCTGGAAACCAGGAGACTGAGTTCTAATTCTGACTTAGGCATGAAAGCTAAAGGTAACTCTCTCCCCATCCCACCGGTTTATTGTTTTGGGGACAATAGGAGATAGGAAGGAATATGTTTGCCACTTTGAGTTACTTATAACAGGGGTCCACAATCCCTGGGCTTCTGCTCACTACTGCGCCATGGCCGGTTTAGAACTGCATCATCTGAGTGGTGGGCTGGCGCATGTGCATGCAGTTCCACTTGCGTGAGCGGCAAACTGGCATGCGAGCACACCTTGACTTGCGCAAATGGTGAGCCGGTGTGCTCATGCATGCACATGCCGGCCAACCTCTTGCATGAGCCAGTTCCCCTCTTCCCCCCTGCCAAGACAAGCCATAAAGGTTGGGGACTGCAGGGGTCTCCAACTTTTTTTGTTCCATGGACTAACGGCAGCGGCTCTGGCGGTTTCTGCGGTGGGGGGGGAAGGTTTTTCACAGGCAATCTAAAACCTGCACATGCTCAAATGAAGCTTTGGGTGCTCACCTATTTCTTCGGTGGTCCAGTTCCCAACGGGCTACAGCCCAGGGGTCAGGGACCCGTTATAAAGCAATAAAGGTGGGATAAAAATCTAATAAATATATGCTCTCTGGAAGTAAAGTAGCAAAAACATTTTTGTAAAGCAATTTATATAATGAAACTAATATTGTGTTTCATCTCTGAGTAATTGGGACTTGTTGTCCAAATAAGCCAATTGCCTCCTCTGAAGACTTAGCTGTTTGCAATATATAAACTAACATATGCACGAAAAGGGAATGATAGCAGAATTATATTTTCCCCTAAAGGGATGTAATGGAGCCTTCCTTTTACTGATCTGAATGCGTTAATTCTGCAATATGCTTGATTACTCCTAAGAGAACAAACGTAAGTTCCTTACTATATACTCCCCTCTGAACTGTATTCTCCACCGAAAGAGAATATGGGAGAAATAGGTCTCATCTTTCTCGGGCACTGAAGGTAACTATGTTTATATCAGATGGAAGGATGTTCAAGGAAATCTCACCATATTACATGTTTCTGAAAAAAAATATCTACTCCATAGTATGACTTGTTCTTTTAGAATCAATTGTCTATCAAATTAAAAGGAAGCAATACTCTAATACCAGACACCCAAAATCCAAAAAACAAATTGATTAGACAGATACAAAGATGATGGACTGACTTTTATAACAATAAATTTGGGAAGTGTTCACCAGCCTTCACTCAGGGGTCTGAAGTTAAAATCAGACCGAGGAAAGCTGATTTATTGCTGGCTATTTCTCAGAGTAGTACCAGACAAATTCTTTATTGTCAGCAAGGTACCACGTTGATAGTCTGGGGTTTCTGTCTTAAAGAGATTCTATGTTGTGTGCATGCAGCAATAAGATGTTGCAAAAGAAATAAAGGAAACTATACCCATAAAGAATAAAAAAAGGAATAAAAGGAGTTGTGGGACTGTCAGTATGAAATACTTGGAATGAAAGGTAGGTTCACAGAAAACAATACAAGTATCTCTTGGAATGCAGACCAATGTCTACAATAGACCACCATTAGTATTTTTAAACTTTTTCCCCTCGAATAACATTCTGTATTCCTATGGTCCATAAGATGCTAATTGGTTGCACTTTGTTAAATGTTGATTTATAACTCCAGCTACAATATTATTGAGCACTTACATTTGGATGGTTCTTTTAAAATTCCTTTTGATTAGCTTTCCACTGCTAACACTCAATTGAGCATTCCCTAGATATGTTGGGACTGCAACTTTCTGAATTTCCAACTGGGAACTGCAATTCTGGTACATCTTGAATGCACCAAGTTGGGGAAGGCTGTGCTAATGCATGATGATACAAGCAACAACAGTGACCTCTTATGGCAGCGATTGCAAAGAGAACTCCCTCCATTTGAATTTAAGAAATTAAACCTACCAGTTGACAGACAATAAGGCACATGAAAACAAATTATAGAAAATGCAGCCCAAAACATATGGAATGCACTAGCCCAATTCTGGCACCAACTCTGAACCAGACTGATAGAAAAGACTATCTTCTTAATGTACTAAAAAAATATCCAGAGTTCTGCTCGCAGAGAGATCTGCAAAATTTGAAAATGGGGATTGAGCTGTCTATATCAGCGGTCGCCAACTGGTGGGCTGCAGCCCACTGGTGGGCCGTGAGAAAATGTTGGTGGGCAGCAGAGAAATCTCACCCCCAGAGCACCCCTCCAAAGCAATTAATCCAGGCTGCACAGAAACACAAGGTTGTGCCGCCCACATGGCCCACGGGAACCCTCCCTGCCCACTCACTCCTTACCCGGTAAACTTGCATGCTAAATTTCTATTTTTCCTTTTTCCGACCATCATCTGTTCTGCTGTGCCGGGAAATTTAGATTAGCTAGGAAGCAGGAAATGGTTGGTTTTCTTGCTTTCTAGCTAGTCTTTAGATCTTTGGTTCAGCACAGCCGAACCTCCCTTAGGACTGAAGATTCTATTATTCAGTGCGGACTCACGGCAAGCAAATTTTATGTGACAGACTGAGCTAGTCGATGGCAGATGGATAGATCACTGAATGATTCTGTGAGCAACTCAATCTGCCTGCCTGCTTTGCCTGATTTTGGGTAAAAGTTGCTCTTTTAAAAAAAAAAAAAATCAATATTTACATGCATGGTGTGTTGTGAGTTAATTTTGTGAGTTTGCTTGCAAGCAAATTTTATGTGACAGACTGAGCTAGGCAATGGCAGATAAGATAGATCTCTGAATGAATCTGTGATTCTGTGAGCAACTCAATCTGCCTGCCTGCTTTGCCTGATTTTGGGTAAAAGTTTCTATTTTTTTAATAAAAAAAATCAATATTTATATAAATATTTATAATATTTACATACAAGCCATGCCCAGCCAGTCACATGACCACCAAGCCACACCCACAAATTAGGCCACACCCACAGAACCGGTTAGTGGTCCCTGGGATCTAAAATTATGAGTTTGGTGGTCCCTGAGGTCCAAAAGGTTGGCGACCCCTGGTCTATATTCTTGCTGTAATAATGTGTAAATTAAACATGTCAAGTGAAACTTAAGTTCAGTTTGACTCATAATGAGTTCATGAGTTATCTTGGCAATAACACGGAAGTGCTTTTGTCACTGCTTTCTTCCTTGTGTTGTGGTTAGCCAGCAGCAGGTGCAGATGGCTGAGGAGAGCAATGACCCTGATGAGGGGCCAAGACCATCAGGGAGTGGACTGCTGCCTTCAGGATTGTGGGGAGTAGCAGCAGTGATGAGGAGGTTCCCGAGGAGCCTGTGTCAAGTGTACGTGAGCACAGGATGATTTGTAGAAGAGAACAGCTGGAGCAGCACAGGCGACTTGGGAGTAAGGATGCAATGAAATGGCCCCTCCCTCCAGGGAATATAAGCCTGGTTTCAAAAGGTTTTTGCTTTTGCAAAGCATTGTGTGTGGAGACTCTGGCTTATCTGAAAAATTCCGTCAAGGCTTTTCTGGTTGGATTAATTGGTTGCAAGCCATCTTTTATCTACAAAGAAGTTATTTGTAGATTAAAGCTGAGAAGGTTTGAATTGCTGCATTTGTTTGAGATTTTCTTGCTGGTAACAGGGTTGGGTCAGAACACCTTGATGTCTTTCAACTCCCTAGTCTAGCTCATAATAATCTAAAATTACTTGACAATCTCTCATCCAAGAATTATGCAGGACTGACCCTGCTTGGCTTTCAAGTACAGACAAAATCAGCCTTGTGTTATCACCTGTGCCATATTTTAATGAGGCAGTTCAGGTGCTTGGATGTTAACCAGATGACACAGAGAAATCAGTGCACATGATATCAAAGTTAAGGGAATTTCAAAACACTGATTAAGAATATTTATTTAAAAGCACTGCATGAAACTTTAAATCACAAAGTGCAATGGAACAAGAAACCTGAAAGCATCAAAGCAAAGAGCACTTGACTCTGTTACTGACAGCTGACTGATCCCAGACAGTTCCTGGATCAAACCAGTCTATACTCAGCTTTGATACATTCTTGTCTCAAATATCTGCCAGAACATCTAACATCAGAGATGTCCACAAGATATTGTCAAAGTTATCAGGATGTTGATAGTGAGAATGAAGTAGTGAGAATGAAGCTACGCCCATTTTTATTTGAGGAAGGTGTTGCGACCAGCAAGTCCTCACTCTGGTCTGCTGTTTAAGCGGGAGCTGGAGAAGTCCCTGATTGGCTGGACCATTTGACAGCTCCATATAAAAGGAGCTGTCAAACAGAATCAGCTGTCTCTCTCTCTCTCTCTCTCTCTCTCTCTCTCAGCTGCTGCCGCGAGCCACGGCTAGCCGCAGCTGAGTTACATGTTAACAATAAAGCCTGTTAGAGCTTTATATTTCCTCCGCCTCTTTCTCTAAGTGCCCCAAACACAAAACTGGTGACGAAGGTGGGATGCAGATGAACTGAGGCAATTCCGGAGGCAAAAGAGAGAGCACCACACGGCTGAAGTCACTTCAAAAAGAGCTGTCACTAAGAGCTGTCACCAAAAGAGCTGTCACTAGAGCAGTCGCTATTGAATGAAGTTATGACGGTGACACCAAACTTTTCACCTTTTCAGCCAACCTCCGTGGACATCATACATCAATAGGTTCGAATGTGTCATGGATGCCACGAACCTTTCTGACACCCCTCCTAACAGGAAGAAAGCCTATTTCCTAAGTTTCTGCGGGGCCACCGTTTTCGAACCGCCACCTTGCTGCTGGCTCCTCAGACGGTCAAGGCTGTCCCCTGGGAAGAACTACAAGAGGTACTTGGTAACCACTATGCCCGAAAGCCATCGCGTATCGCCTGCTGCCATGCATTCAGAAGAAGAAGTCAAGCAGAAGGTGAGTCCATAAGTGAATACATGGCGGCTCTTCGTTCAGCCGCCCTGCAATGTGGTTTCCGAGATCACCTAGATGATATGCTGCTGGACCAGCTCATCTGCAGGGTGAGAGACCTTCGACTTCAATGATGGCTGCTGGCTAAAGGTGACCTCACCTTGAAGCAAGCCATTGAAGAAGCCCAAACCGCTGAACTATCCAACTTTCCTGTCCCACAAGGCCACTTTTAGCAGAACCATTGCACAGACTATTAGACTCTAAGACGCAGTGGCATTGGGGATCCAAGGAACAGGCATCTTTCTCTGCAGTAAAATCCCTCCTCACCTCAACCAAGGTCCTCATTCAGTTTAGCAATGCTCTCCCCTTTATCCTAGTTAGCGATGCTTCCCCTTATGGAATTGGGGTAGTCCTAGGTCATAAATTGCCAAATGGCCAGGAAGCCCCTATAGCTTATGTCTCTAGGACTCTCTCAAAGGCTGAGTGCAACTACAGCCAAATAGATAAAGAGGCATTGGCTGCTGTGGCCTCAGTCAAAAGGTTCCATGAATACCTCTATGGGCACCAGTTTGAGCTCATCACGGACCACCAACCTTTGTTAGGCATCCTGGCAGGGACAAGCCCAGCCCACAAATCCTCTCCCCTAGAATGACCCGATGGACAATCTTCCTAGCCGCTTACAGCTATAAGTTGACTTACAGGCCTGGCAAAGATGTAGCTCATGCTGATGGCCTAAGCAGGTGCCCTTTACCCCTTCTGGTCGCTGATCCTGCCCCTTCAGCCTCTGTGTTCCTGCTGGAAGATCTGCATTTGCCTCTGACAGCTGATGACATCGCCTACGCCACCGGCAGAGATGTACAACTGTCTAAAGTCATGGACTGGGAGCGAAGGGGGTGGCCCAGGGAAACCACCACAGTGGATTTCCACCCCTTCAAAGCATGCCAAACCGAACTGAGCACACTAAAAGGGTGCTTATTGTGGGGTCCCTGAGTAATTATTCCCAAACTACTAAGACCATACATTACTGAAGTTCTGCATGAGGGTCACCCAGGGATCAACAGAATGAAGGCTCTGGCCAGGAGCTATGTGTGGTGGCTGGGCCTAGATGAGGCAGTCACCAATAAAGTTCAGAATTGCTCCATCTGCCAAATGTCCAGGCCTGCCCCACCAGCTGCCTCTTCTGGGGAGTGGGATGATACCAAAATACCATGGTCTAGAGTACACATGGACCTGGCAGGTCCCATGCAAGGGAAAAACTTCCTAATTGTGGTAGATGCGTTTTCAAAGTGGGTAGAGCTGGTTCTCCTCCAATCAACCACTTCAGATACTGTAAGCAGAGCTTTAGACAAGATTTTCACTTCCCATGGGTACCCTGACACCCTGGTTTCTGATAACGGGCCCCAATTCACCTCATCCTCTTTTGAATTGTTCCTGGCCCAAAGAGGAATCTGACATGCCCTATTTTCCCCATTTCATCCAGCCTCCAATGGCCTTGCAGAATGAACCGTAAGATCTGCAAAAGACTCCCTGGGAAGGATAACGGAAGGGGACTGGTCTACCAGGGTAGCCCGGTACCTACTTATCCAACACACCACACCAAGCGCAGCCACCAACCTCTCCCCTGCTGAACTATTAATGGGAAGGAGACTCCGCACAACCCTAGACAGGCTGCACCCTAATTATGCCCCCAGGGCGCCCCTTGACTTGTCCAGCAAGACAAGGGAATTTAGGCCTGGGGACCTAAATTACTCCCAAAAATTATGCAGGGAATCCCTTATGGTTGCCCGGGTGGGTTAAGCAGAAAACAGGCCCCAAATCCTACAGGGTAAGATTGTTGGATGGACGGTTATGGCGCCGACATGTGGACCAACTAAGAAGTCATTGGAGTGCCCCAACAGGTCCAGCTCAGAGGGAAACTGAGGCCACAGACTCCAAATGGGGCAAAACCGAGGCCCCTAGCCGACCGACTCCCGACCACCGACCCCTCTTCTCCAACTCTTCTCTGCTTTCTCTACCTTATGACAGTCCCCTCCAGGAATAACTGCCAGAATATACACCAAGGGCCCTTCATTCTTGTCGATGCCTCCTACAATCTGCAGGCCCATGCCCGTTTCCTTGGAAACGCTGATGATCTGAAATATGCTGTCACTAGAGCGAAAAAGAAACAAAGTTAGCTTTAAAAGGTTAGTGACTGGGAAACAGAACAAATACAAAGAATACCTTACAGCAAAATCTTTGTTTTCCCATAGCCATGCTTTGATGCCTGTTCATGCTTATGAATATTAAGAAGGAGATCCCATTCCCCCCACCAGCCACCCCTTCTAAAATAGGAAAGTGGAATCAAGTACTCATGTGCAAAATGGAAACTTTGGCATTGGGCCTCTTATACAATTCTGTTTCTGTGAAGACTATTTTTTTCCCCAGTTGGCTAAGAAATAATCCATTACTATATGTCTTTGGAATGCGATGAATGAGTATACCATGAACTTGTTTTAAATACAAAAATTAAACTTAGTTTTTATTCTAAGTCCTACAGCTTGCTATATTTGGAAGAATTTCTCTTTTTTTTCCTTTGCTTCATAGAATTTGAGGGTTAAAAAAAGTTTTAAAAATGCTAGGAACAGAAAGTAAAATAGCAAATAAAAAAAAATGATCCGGAACTGCCTCCTCTCCATTATAATGTGCTGTTTTGTTAAGGTATTGGGATTTAAGAGCTGAGCAGCAGTGAAGCTGATGCAATATAGGATGATGCAGTAAGAATGAATCAGCATAGCATGGGTATTTTTCTTTAAGACTGGGAATCAGCATAGCATGGGTATTTTTCTTTAAGACTGGG